AGAGGGTTGACATGTTGTGGGGTTGTTAACCAGTGTCATAAAACAATATGTGTACTTCTGTTTCATGAGAAACTATTTGTTCTGTAAGCCTTCACCTGAAGTATAATAAAAAAAAAAATTTTTTTTTAGAGTGTAAAGGGGTCCTGAGACCAAAAAGTTTGAGAACTATTGCTGTACATTGGTGCATTTGTTTCCTAAAATTGTCATTTGCTTAAAGAAACAAGCCCAGTTCCCTTCAATTTGTACAGGAATTTATTACAAAGGAGACAACATCCACATCTGTCAAAGAACAATGTGTAAACAACAGCACAGGCAGTAGGCTAATTAACCACTGTCACTGCAGCTGCTTGGGATCATCCCAAAGCTGACTTGGATGAATATTGCTCCATGAATGAGTGTCTGAATTCACGCATTCATTTATTTAACAGACAATTGTTTAGCCCCTGTTGCTGGCCAGACACCATAGTAAATGATGCAGATGCAAAACAGAATAGGACATAGCTTCTGAAGCGGAACTTGTAAGTTAAGATGAGATAGTGCCTGTCTGTGACTGTCAGTGAAACAGTTGTGACCAGAAAACATTTGGGCAGTGAGATTGTAGTGATTCACAGAGAAGGAAAAAGGCTATAAGTTGTCAGAAAAATCTAACTTTAAACTAGTCTCAAATTTTTTATTGTTGTCAAAATATATAACACATTTGCCAATTTAGCATTTTTTTACATGTACAGTTCAGTGATGCCAATTACATTAATCATCTTGTGCAAATATCTCCAGTATTCATTGCCAAGTTTTTCATCACCATAAACAGACACTCAGTGCTTCCTGAACAGTGACTTTCCCTCTCTCCCTCCCTCTCACCCCTGGTGACCACTAACAAACTTTGGCCTCTGTACATTTGCCTATTCTAAATACTTCACATAAGTGGGATCATACAGTATTTGTCCTTTTGTGATTAACTTACTTCACTCAGCATGATGTTTTTGCGGTTCATCCATGTTGTAGCATGTATCAGAACTTCGTTTCTCTTTATGGCTGAGTAATATTCTGTTGTATGTATATACTATATTTTGTTCCTTTATCTGTTGATGGATATTTAGGTTGTTTCCATCTTTTGGCTATTGTGAATTATGAGAACTAGTCTCAAATTTTAATGACACTGGGAATATGCAGAGTAATTTATTTAGCTTTTGTGGCTTGCTTGCAATGTGTCAGGCTCAGCCCTAAATGTTGAGGATACACATATGCGTAACATATAGGTTCTACCCTCAAGAAGCCTGCAGCCTAATAAGGGTAACAGAATGGAGTTAGGAAAGATATTTCAGTAAAATGAGAAAATCATATCAAATGCTACACAGATGTCAAGTAAATGAAGGAGCATTAGGTCATAGATGAGATCATTAGACAGTTGAAATTTCTAGGATGGTGCCAAAGAACAAACCCAAAAGGAAGACAAATTACTGTCTAAGAATAAGACAGATAAAGCAGCAAGACAGAATGGATGATGTTATAATAGTTTCCAAAGATGTGACTACTAATGCATTCAAAGAAGAGGCTTTGCTTTTGCCTGGGGTGTTTATTTTACAGTTCTTAGACCTGAGTCCTGAGACAAGACTTGAGAGAATAAGAGCAGATTTAGCCGTTTTCCCTATCTCTTTAAGTAAGACTAAATAACAAGGAGAGATGTAGAGAGTTGGATTATTGAATTCAAAGAAGGCAGAAGGGAGAGAAATTTTCTTTTTGGCTCTTCTTCACCATAAGACAAGGAAAGGATATTCCTTGCAGTACCAGGGTGATTAACTTCAGGAGTGGATCACAGTAAAGGCAGGGGAATGAGGAGTGAGATAGGAGATGCACACTAAGAAAAGGATGCGTCTTCTTCCCCCTTTTCCCAGACCCTCAGATGCAGCCTACTCATTTATCTTCTGTCATTTAGATAGAGATAGGAGCTTCTAAGGAGTCCCTGGGTGGCACAAATGGTTAATACACTCTGCTGCTAATCAAAAGGCTGGAGATTGAAGTCCACCCAGAGAAGCCTCAAAAGAAAGGCCTGGTGATCTACTTCGGAAAAATCAGCCGTTGAAAAACCCTATGGAGCACAGCTCCGCTCTGACACACCTGGGGTTGCTATGAATTGGAATCGACTCAGCAACTGAGAAAAAAAAAAAAAGGAGGAGGTGGTTTCCAGGGCAAACTGATTTCTCAGAGGAGAAAATCAAGATAAATTTGAGATTCACAGTGAAATATGAAGAGTAAAGGAAATCAACACCCATGAAAGCAGCAGTCAGGAAATCAAAAGACACATTTCATTGGGCAGATCTGCTGCAAAAGACGTCTTTAAGTATTCAAAAGCAAAGATGTCACCTTGAAGACTAAGGTGCACCCGACACAAGCCATGGTGTTTTCAGTCGCCTCATATGCGTGCAAAAGCTGAGTGATGAATAAGGAAGACCAAAGAAGAATTGATGTGTTTGAATTATGGTGTTGGCAAAGAATATTCAATATACCGTGAACTGCCAAAAGCCGAACAAATCTGTCTTGGAAGAAGTATAACCAGAATGCTTCTTAGAATCAAGGATGGCGAGACAACATCTCATATACTTTGGACATGTTATCAGGAGGGATTAGTCCCTGGAGAAGGACATCATCTTTGGTAAAGTAGAGGGTCAGTTTAAAAGAGGAAGACCCTCAATGAGATGGATTGACACAGTGGCTGCAACAGTGGGCTCAAGCATAAGAATGATTGTGAGGATGGTGCAGGACCGGGCAGTGTTTCGTTCTGTTGTACGTAGGGTCGCTATGAGTCGGAACCGACTCAACAGCACCTAACAACAACAACACAGGAAATAAAGAAAACAAGTCAAGATAAAAGCACAGGGACCAAAAAAAAAAAAGCAAGAGGAAATGGAATCTTCCCCAGCTCACCACCACCACCAGTGAGATTTTCCCTTTTAAAGGCCATGACCATATGATAAAATCATTTGCTCCCCCCATGGAGCAAGGAGAGTGCTTTGCAAATAGGGATCAGTAAATAATTAACACAAATGAATGCTGAAATTATATTTTTAAAAAAGTAGTTTAAAGCTACAACTCAGGATGGTAAGATAAATACCAAAAAAATTTCAAAGGATGAGCTCTTTGTGGCATCTTTGGGTTACTGGATCCAAAGAAGACAGAAGGGAGAGAAATTTTATAGAATCCTTGTGGCATCTTTGTGTTCTGTTAGGTGAAGGGGGATTACAAGAAACAGCTAGGACTTGGTGACCACTCTGACCATGGTCTCTCTGGCCCACATAAGCAATAGTTCAATAAAGGTACTTGCCTTTTCCAGCTGAGTCTCCTTATTTCCTAAACTGGTGGCTTTTTCCAACGGCTCACTGAAACACTGTTATACCGTGACAGTGCCTTGACTAATTCAGACCTCTGCTTCTTTTTTTTTTTTTAATTTTGTTGTTGTTGTTGAGAATATACATAGCAAAACATACACCAATTCAGCCATTTCTACATGTACAATTCAGTGACACTGATTACATTCTTCAAGTTGTGTAACCTTTCTCACCCTCCTTTTCTGAGTTGTTCCTCCCCCGTTAGCATAAACTCACTATCCCCTATGGTTCATATCTAATCTTTTGAGTTGCTGTTGTCGCTTTGATTCCATATAGTTCTTAAAAGAGCATAATACTGAAGGCAGACATTTCCTACTAGTTAAGCTAAACTATTGTTTAATTTTAAGAAGACTTCAGTGGATATTTTTGATTGAAGTTTTAAAGATTATCTTAGAGCAGTAGTTTTAGGGGGTCATCCAGCCCCCATGGCTCCAGAAAGTCTGGATTCCATGAGAATTTTAAATTCTGTTCCACATTTTCCCCCTTTTGATCAGGATTCTTCTGTAGAATCTTTGATCAAAATGTTTAGCAGTCACAGCTGGGCACCATCCAGCTCCTCTGGTCCCATGGCAAATTTTAGGGCAGTTGTTCATGGATGCAACCAGCCACACTTTCCATACATTCCTCCTATTCCTGACCCTTCCCCCTCTTCCATCATTCTAGATGAGCAGAGACTAACCATCATGCCTTGAATGGCCATTCACAAGCCCTTAAGACCCCAGGCACCACACAACAAATTATACCGTTTTTCCTACCCTCTCTCCTTCATTTTGTTGTTGTTGAAATTACATCTTTATATTTCATGTGCCCTGTAACATAATTTTATCCCTGCAGACCTCTGCTTCTGATGGGCTGAAGCAGCATTTCAAATACTGGTGACAATGCAGTAGTCAGTGTATGAAGCTGTAATTAATTATAAATTTCACGGTAATCTCTTCTTTGCCAGAAACATGATTCCGGTGACAGAATTCCGCCAGTTCTCTGAGCAGCAGCCTGCCTTCCGGGTGCTGAAGCCATGGTGGGATGTGTTTACCGATTACCTCTCGGTGGCCATGCTGATGATTGGCGTGTTCGGGTGTACTTTACAGGTAGGTGCTGAAACCCATGGCATAATAGGAGCCAAGCAAGAAACCTAATCAGTGAAACCTCTTAAAAGGGATGGTTGTGTAATTTTTAACCTTGTAAACATTGGTTGCTGTTCTCTACTGGTGTATGGTATTTGTAATCATGGCAGGGAACCAGAACGCTTATTTACTGAACTTTCTTCATAAGGTAAATATGGTACTTGTAAGATTTCAATGAGCCCAGAAAGTAGTTGGGGTAATTAGTAATAAGGGGTCCCTTATCTTTCAAAATTGGTTTTACAGTGAAATATAACGTGTGTTTATACCCTTTGCCGTCAAGTCAATTCCAACTCATAGTGACCCTATACAAGAGAGTAGAACTCCCCCATCGAGTTTCCAAGGTTGTAAACCTTTATGGAAGCAGACTGCCACATCTTTCTCCTGGGGAGTGGCTGGTGAGTTCAAACTGCTGACCTTTTGGTTAGCAGCCGTAGCTCACTGTAGCTCTTAACCACTGTGCCACCAGGGCTCCTGGGCTCCTTATATATATCCATTAAAAAAAAAAAAAAACACTGCCAATGAGTCGATTCTGACTCACAGCGACCCTATAGGGTTTCCAAGGCTGTAAATCTTTATAGAAGCAGACTGCCACATCTTTCTCATGTGGAGCTACTGGTGGGTTCAAACTGCTGACCTTTCGGTTAGCAGCTGAACACGTATATATCCATAGTACCTATTATATTGCCAAAATGAAACTTATGCCTTTGCTTTACCTCTTACACTTGCCCTGGTAAGACGTTCAGGAAGAGCTAACATTTTTGATGAGATAACCATCCCAATGTTCACTTCTGAATTAAAATATAACCTAATCAAAATTGCTGTTTATTCTGTATCGATGCTATATATAGTCATATATTGACTCCCTATACTGTTTGCATGCATGCTATGTGCCAGATGCCTTGCTTTGAGAATATAGATACCTATAAGTAGTTCATGGTCTAGTGGAGAGCAAAATAAACAAGTAATTAAAGATTATATTATACTGTGATGGAGGTGTCCACAAGGCGCTAAGGGAGTGCAGAAGAGGAGCACTCAACTTGGCTTGGGAGCAAGAGAAAATATGATGGTTGAATTAAATCTGAAGAACCAGTCAGAGTTAACAGGGACGTGAGGGTGGGAGAAGGTGCCAAGAAGAGTAAAAAAAAAAAAAAAAACCTCTCAGTCATGAATTGAGAAAGAACATGACACCTTTGGGAAACTGTTGGGAGGACTGGCACAGATTGGGTTTCAGTAGTATGAGAGTTGAAGCCATGCCTGTATATGGAATCACCCAGGGAGAGTGCAGAGAGTGAGATGCAGTCAGGAGTAACATTAAAGAGTAAATGGAGGGAGAAGATGAGCCTCCACAGAAGACTGAGAAGGGACAGCCATAAGGGCAGGTGGAAACTAGGAGAGGAGTGTCTCAGAAGTCCAAGGAAGATGTGGTCAATGGTGGCAGGCAGTACAGCTAACTCATGCCCTAAGGACAGAAAAGTGGCAGCTAGGTCATTAGAAATCTTAACAGTTTCAGTAGTTGGAAAAGTGAATGGAAGTTACCGTAGAGGCCCTGGAGTAGACGTGATTTTCAAATAGATGAGCTGGGAGGGAGAGGAGCTAGGGGAAAAGATTAAGAGCTAGAGGCAATACAGAGTGAAAATAAAGCCCTTTTTAAAGTTAATAATGGTTAACACATAGTGCTTCCTATGTGTCAGGCACTATTCTGAACACTTTATACATATTAACTCATTTTATCCTCGTGACAACCTAAGACGTAGGTACTATTACTAAATTTACAGATCTGACAACTGAGGCACAGATAGGTTGAAGAAACTTCCCAAGGTGAGTGGCAAAGCCATTATTCAAACATAGGCAGTTTGGCTCAAAATCCTGTTCTTAATCCCTAACATCATGCTGCCTCCTATTTGTAGGATGAAGAAAAGTTGCCCCCCACCCCCGCCAAAAAAAATGCCAGTGAAAAATCAGACTTTGAAAAAGAGAAAGCACATAAATTTGTTCATAAATAAAATAAATACATATTGAAGAGCTACTGTGTCCCAGGCACTGTTCTGGGTACCAGGAATTATCAGTGAAGGAGGAAAAAACAAAAGTCAAAAATCCAAGCCTTATGGAGCTTAAGTTCTATTGGAAAACAATCAGCATAAGAAGCAAAATCATAAACTATATGTTAGAAGGTGATAAGGTCAATGAAAAAAAAAAAAGGAAAAATGGTAGGAGATCCCAGCAGGTGAGATGGGAGTTGTAACTCTGAGTTAGAATGAGAAGGTGACTGTTAAACAAGGAGCTAAAGGAGGTGTGAGGGCAGGCGGTGCAGATGGCCAGGGAGCAGCCTTCCAGGCTGAGGGAACAACAAGAACAAAGGGCTTTATGGACAAAGGGTTAACATAGCCCTTCCCCTTCTGCATGAAAATTTGACTTTCTCTTAACTTTCTAGTTCTGTTTCCCTGGAGACCTGATAAAGGTAGAATGTTAACTATGTTACTAGGCAGCATTGCTTATGGTAAAAATGACCACCGATTGGTCACCTGCATCTGGGCTGGGAAAATAATTAATGCCTGGTAGGAAGCCATACCATTGGGCTTCTGTGATGTGGTGACACTTATAACTGAACATGTCCTTGACACATGGAAGATGTAGCTATTGAGTTACAAGAGATACTGGCTCCTTTGGGACATAAGACTTTTAAGCCAGGGTAAGTCCTGAACCCTTTTGTATTGATTTCCTAGGGCTGCCATAACAAAATACTACTAACTGGGTAGTTTATAAAAACAGAAATTTATTGTCTCAGTTCTGAAGGCTGGGAATTGGAGATCAGGATGGTCAGCCATGTTGATTCCTTCCGAGGCTTTTGGAGCAAATCTGTTCCATGCCTCTCTCCTAGCTTCTGGTGGCTCCAGGTTGGCTTGCAGTTACAGCATCACACGGTATCCTTCCTCTATCTCCTGTCTCTACGTATCTTCTCCTCTTTTATAAGGAAGCCAGTCAAACAGGATTAGGACCATCCTACTCCAGTATGACCTCATGTTAACCTAACTGATGACGTCTTTAAAGACATTCTTTCCAAACAGTGTCACATTCACAGATACAGGGGTTAGAACTTCAGCATATCTTCTTTGGGGACATAATTCAATATAAAGCACCACCCAAAGTGGTTCTCTTTTTCTTATACCAAAATGTTATGGGGAGGAGGAGCGTGGGGAAAGACTAGCTCCTGGGCAATAGTGTAGACCACTACATAGATAGTTGTGAAGGTTCTCCTAAAAGGGAAAGCCTGATGCTGACTTGCAGTCAAGCTGTGACTCCAATCCTGTATCTTTCTAAGTGAGTCTTGTGCCACTGAAAATCTGTCATCATCTTTTAAATCTGAATGCTGAGGTGAACCTAGAAAGACCTCTGGTGGTGTCACAGACCTGAAACAGGAATATCGCTGGCATGTTGAAGGAAAAGCCAGGAGGCCAGTGTGCTGGAGCAGTGTGTGTGAGGAGAAGGGCAGTAGAAGAATGAGGCCAAAGAGGCAATGGTGCCAGATCACAGAGGGCCTTTTAGGCCACTGTAAAGGTTTTGGCTTTGTTCTGAGAGGGGACACATTTATAGAGTTGAGCAGAGGGTTGTCATTATCTGATTTATGTTTCACCAAGATCACTCTAGCTGTTGAACTGAGAGTACAGTGCAGAGGGCAAGGATGAAAGCAGAGGGATTACTTAGAAGGCCAGTGAAATAATCCAGGCAAGAGATGAAGGTGGGTTGGACCAGGTTGAACTTGTGGTTCTGGATATATTTTGAAGGAAAAACCACCAGGATTTGCTGACAAATTGATTGTGGGGTATGAGAGCACAAGAAAATCAGGAATGACTCTTAAGATTTTAGGCCTGAGCAGACTGGAGGAGTTTGTCTGTGAACGTGTTAAGTTTGAGATATACGCCAGATATTAAAGTATAGATATTAAGTAAGTAGTTGCATATAAGACTCAGGAGTTTAGGGTAAGTGATGAATGTCTTCTTCAGGAGGAAGGTGGTGATGGGATCCAGGATCCAGGCGGGAGGATTATCCTTGATTGGAAAGGAGGGTAGATCACAACAGAGGGTCCTAGACAGAGTGGGAGAAAAATTGTAGAACAAACAATCAAATTGACAGAAAAGACCAGACTTACTGGACTGACAGAGACTGGAGGAACCCTGGAGACTATGGCCCTAAGACACCCTTCTGAACTGGAACTGAAGCCATTCCTGGAGACCACCTTTCAGCCAAACCATAGACAGGCCCACAAAATAAACAACACCCAAGAGGAACTTGCTTCTTAGAACAATCAATTATATGAGATCAGAAGGGCAACATTTGCCCAAAAGTAAAGATGAGAAAGCAAGAAGGAGTAGAAAATAAGGACTAAAGGAAACAGGGAAACTTGGATGGAAATGGGGAGAGTGCTGACACATTTTGGGGAATGAAACCAATATCATGGAACATTTTATGTACAAACTACCAAATGGGAAACTAATTTGCTCTGTGAACTTTAACCGAATGCACATTAAAAAAAAATTTTTTTAAAAAGAACTCAATAAACAGCATTAAAGGAACAAAATATGTGTTATAAATATCTAAGGAAAGTAAAAATGCCTAGGATCCACATTACAAATTAATATTCCTTAGGGGGCAAATTTCTTCATCTTTGGCTTAGCGGTTGGTGTGTAAATTTGGATGATAGTCATATTAATCTTCCTTGTAGGCATATGGATATTATCTGTCATGGATTGAATTGTGTCCCCCCAAAATATCTGTCAACTTAGCTAGGTCACGATTCCCAGTATTGTATAATTGTGTACCATTTTGTAATCTGATGTGATTTCCTTATGTGTTGTAAATTCAATCACTGTGGTCTAATAAGATGGATTAGCGACAGTTGTACTGATGAGGTATACGAGATTGGATAGTGTCTTAAGCCAATCTCTTCTGAGATACAAAAGAGAGCA